TCCTCTTGTTACCGATGTTGGGGAGTTGCAGTGAGTGGTAGCTAAGAGAAGCCATCTTTGCATACAGTATGAAAATTTTTTGTTTTGGAATTTGCTTGTTGGTGGTTTAGTAATCTGCCAGTCTCATGGATCATGAGTGATGGAAACAAGGATCTTATCCTTTCTTGTTACTACTAGTGGCTGAGTGGATCGGATGAGGTTATGTTCTGACTTGACCGGTTTCAGGTGGCTTTAAGTCCATAATTTAGACAAAAGTCTGACTTACTCAACTATGTAGTGTAGGTGCTTGAGCAATCACAAACTATATAAACTTTTCTGCCTACAAAAAAAATCATAAAATGTATGAGAAGTTTATGTATGTATAACTTTGTAACATGCTTAAATATATCAAATATGATTGTTTCTATGTTTAAATGAATGTTGATCATAGCTGTAATATACAAGATATCTGACAATCCTTTCCTCTTTGGTTGAGTATCTCGATGTAGATGACAGGATCGAAAGCTTTTTTTCTTTTTTTCTTTTGTAAACATGAAGCAGTGAGATGTTTTGTTGAGAGATCATAATTATAATTTCTTCATTTTCTAATCTTTATATCACGTACGTTTAACAAGACATTGCCACCAATAGTGCCAGGGTAGTCTGAGGTTCTCTTGACAGTGTTCCTACTCATTTTTTAGTTTTTGATGAGGTAATTATTTATAAATCTTCAATAAGGGCGAAAGTGGTATTTTTTAAAAATATAATGAGATTAATCTCCTTAACCCCTCTTCATTTGCCAAACACAAAAGACTTAACCCATTGTCTTAACTATCGTATCCAAACGGGTTTGGAATTTTTTTAACCCTTCAAAATGGATTAACTAAGTTAACCCTTCTCTTTAATCCCTCCTCCTTAACCCTTTACCAAACGGTACCTAAGGTACTGTTTGACAAAGGGTTAAGTGAGGAGTTAAGAAGACTTAGCCCCTTCTTAACTCGCCAAACACAAAAAAACTATACAGAGGATAAAGTGAGTTAACCCTCCATAATTTGCCAAACATAAAAAATACAGAAGGGTTAAGCTAACCCCTATAGAGGGATTAAAATGAGTTAACCCCTCAAAATGAAGGGTTTACTAATACTCATATTTAGAAGGATTAAGAGTTAACCCTTCTAATTATAAAGAAAATAGTTTCCCAAACACTAAAACTGATCACAAGGACTACAATAAAACTTATTTAACAGGTTATAATTTAGTCCTTCGGATTATTGAATGAGCTAAGTATATTAATCATTCTTTTTAACCCCTCATCCTTAACCCTTTGCCAAACAGGGTCTAAATTTTCACATGCTTACACTTTGATATCTCCCGTTAAAAAAGAAATACCCTGAAATCTCCTCCTTCTATTAAAAAGAGAGAATATGTTCATATCTAATTTTCTCTATCTGATTTCTTCCCCCAATGTGAACGTGGAGAAAATTAAAACCTTTGAGAAACATTTTCTACAGGAAGGTCATGAATATTATTCTCTCAAAATTTAGAGAAATTTAGGGATATGAAATGGAGAAATCTTGGAGAGGATGAAGAACTGAAGTTATCAGCATTAAATAGGTGCAAATGTCGTCCTTGTCTTTACTGTAAGTTAACAATATTAATGGTCTCTCAATAAGATTCAGGATATCTTATGGACAAATCTAAACTTTAGGATAGAACAGTCAAAAAATTGAGTATTTCGAGGTACTTAAGTGAAAGTAATCCTTTTATTTGGCTCCTAATCAAGACTCATATAGTTATTGCTGACAGAAGTCTTAATACCATAGGGAAGTCTGACTACCAAAGTTTGTTCTGGTTGGTAAGCGTTAAAAAAATAATATAATTTTATATTGAGAACAATTTGACCATTACCGATGCAATTTCAATTTTGTGAAAACCATTTTTAGCATGCTTTAATGACCTTTAACTGTTCTCCCGTATTAGTTGTCAATGCTGACTCCCAATGTAATATTATCCAGACCACAATCAAACAGAGTTCATGCACCTCCAAAGAGAAAAAAATGTATTATCTAAAATTTTTTATTCCATTCCCCTTGCTGAGTAATGTTTTCCTAAGATTTCTTGTCTCCTTTTGGATTTCTCTTCAACCTCTATAAATACAACCTTCTACAGCATTTCACCTTCTAACACTCATCTCTCTCTCTCTCTCTGCGTACAATGGCAGGAGGAGCAATGATGAAAGCTGATGGAGGCAAAGAGTATCCTGGAAAAATGACATTGTTTGTGTTCATCACTTGCCTTGTTGCTGCAACTGGTGGTCTGATTTTTGGCTATGACATTGGAATATCAGGTAACAATTCAATAGAACATTAGATTTTTCTTCATCTATATTCTGATTCTCAATAAACCCTCTTATTTATTTAATAAGTTCACAAAAAAAAACCCTTCCGTTTATGATCATCAAAGAAATTGTTAGCATAGTTTTATTCGTTAGACGTTTCAATAGACACGATTCCGATTTTAAGTTTTTTAGGGATAATTAATTGCGGATAGACACCATGTAGTTTTGTTGTTGCAGACGAGCTCCCTGTGAATATCTTTGACTCTTCTATGCTTAGAGAATGATAAAATTTACTTTTGACAAATTTTACTCAGTGGGTCTATCTGTAACAATTGAACTACAAGGTATCCACTACAGGACGATAGTACAAGGAGCCCGTGAAAGGGCCAAAACATTTTACTCCGTGGGTCTATATGCAACAATAGAACTGCAAGGTGTCCACAATAGGACGATAGTACAAGGAGTCTGTTAGAATATAAAAAATTAATAAAATAACTTTCAATTTTTACATAACTTCAGAGTTTTGATGCAATGTTTAGAGAGACTTTTAGATGTTATCAGAAAAGCCCAGGCCACGAACTCAAAACCGATTTTCTAAAATTGGGTTAGAGACTTTAAGACGGTCTATCCATCCTCAACTAACCCCTTTTCCACTTGTAAATTTCCCTAAAACCAACTACAACTGAAGAAGTTCCACGTAATTCTCCCTAAAACAAATTATTATATTTTTCATTCAAGTACATCAACTTGTGATTATTTGCTCTCTAAATACAGGAGGAGTTACATCCATGGATTCTTTCCTACAAAAGTTCTTTCCATCCGTATACCATAAGGAAAAGCAAGATAAAAGCACGAACCAATACTGCAAGTTCGATAGCCAGCTCCTCACAACATTCACATCATCATTATACCTAGCTGCATTAATTTCTTCTTTCTTTGCTTCAAAGATTACAAAGGTTTTTGGGAGGAAATGGTCTATGTTTGGAGGAGGTATCACATTTCTTGCTGGTTCTGCACTTAATGGAGCTGCTGTGAATGTGCTCATGCTTATACTTGGCAGAATACTTCTTGGGGTTGGAGTTGGATTTGCTAATCAGGTGATTTTTCGAGTAATTAGACTACTGGAATTGATAAGTTACATGATTAAATTTAAATTTGCATTTTCAGATGTGTTGATTGTGTTGGATTAAATCTAATTATGGGCATATATGTTATATTAGTGTATAATGCTATCCTTAAGGTTAACCCGCATAAAGTGATCAATCAATTTGGGTTAATGAGTATTTAAGTAAAATCATGGGCTAATTGTGCAGATACCAGATTGCAATTCTAATTTTATGAGGGGCTAAATTAGAAAATTACAAATCTATATAAATGGGTTATGGTCCCTAATTTAAAGGTAACGTTCTCTATTCTCTAATCCCCATCTTAAGAGAATTCTTAAAAGAGAAACCTTTCAGATTAGAAGATCAACCCTAATTCAGATCCGTGCTCAAATCATCATGGAACTAGGTATTGCTTCTGCTCTCAAGTTAATCTCTTTGAATTAATCACAATAATATATTCTTACAAGTGGTATCAGAGCCACCATGTTTAATTCTTTAAGATTTATGTTTAAGATTAAGAATTAGGGGTTTTTTTATCTTAATTTGGCTTTATTAAGATCTGTTGCACGTTTGGATTTCCTCTATCAAAGGAAGACAGCGGCGGCGGCATCAGGAAGCCCTAGGGTTTCGAAACTCTAAGGTGTTGGAGCTTAAGCGGCGACGGCGACGGTTCAAAACGAAACCCTAAGGGGTGTTCATGCAGGAGAACGTGCGTGAAAACGTGTGGAATTTTAGGGGACGACGGTTACCTTAACTTTTAGGCGAGCTCAAGCCCTAGATCAGGCGAGCTCGAGCCCAAATCAGGCGAGCTCAAGCCCTAGATCAAGCGAGCTTTCGAATCCTCTTTCAGGCGAACTTTGGGCTCCGTTTAGGCGAGGTACGAAGCTCTTTTCACGCGATCTTTTGAGTCTCAATTCAGGCGAGCTTCGAATGCTCGAATCAGGCAAAAAAAAAAATTAGGGCACAGAAAGTTACCTGTTTCATGCGAGCTTTGCCTTGGATTCAGACGAGTTCGATGCTCTCTTGCAAGCGGGCTCGAATTCTCATTAAGGCGAGCTCAATTGGGTTTCAGGCGAGCTCAAATTTTTTGTGAGCTCGATTTTTTTTTCTTTCAACTGCAGGCGAGCCTAAGGGCGTGTTTGGATTTCAATGGGGTTAAGGCAAGTTAAGAAAAACTAGGTGAGAGAACAGAAGGGAATAGAAGGGAGTTCCCTTCTCCTTGGTTACACCCCAATTTGGAGGGTAACAAATTTTATACTATTAAGGGGTGAACTAAGGGGAACTAGGATGAATAACTTCACCTCTTAAATGTTCACAAACAAGGTGAATGGTTCCCCTAACTTCCCTTCTCCCTTCTTCCTCTCAATCCAAACAAGCCATAAGTTTTTCTTCCATCGGCTAAATGAAAACGACGGGCGACCACTTTGAGTTAAGGGTAAATGAAACCCACTTAAGTGTTCTTGGGGGCCTATGAAACTTGTGTGGGCCTTTAATGAGGTGCTGGAAAATTCATTAAAATTGTGGGTCTGAGTTATTTGTTTCAGGCCAAGGCCAATTAAGTTTCTTTGGGGCCTATAATTTATTATGGATTATTTGAGTTACTCAAATAATCAATTAAGTTATTGGGTTAATTGGGTAACAAGCCAATCCCACTTAAGCTATTTGTTTGGTTATGGGCTTGTAAATCAATTTATTTTAAGTTGGACCTGTAACTAAATAAAGTATGAATTATTTGAATTTCTCAAATAAATAATTAAGTGTTAGGTCTTTATTTTTAATGAGCCTATCTATGGTTAATTAAAATATAGAAATTTATTTTAATTGCTTAAGTAAATTTCTAAATTTTATTTGGTAGTTAATTCAAATAATATGACAATAAGGTATTAATGTTGTCTCTCATTCCAAATGATTAATTAAAATAAGATGTTACCAAAGTAACATCTCTTATGTAGATTGTTCATAAGGGATGTTAGACGGTTGTGCGTATGTTTTCATGTAAATATTAATCAGCCCAAAGAAAGGTTAATATTTATTTAGATTGCATACACATCTGCGATGATAAACATGTGATAATTATAAGATTTACATATGGATAATGAATCGATCCAAAGATAGTTTTATTATTTGACATGAGTTATTGCCAGCGTTTGATCATTGCAACAAGATATCACTTACAAATTAATATTATTGTCTAAAAACTTGATATTAATGTTGTGTCAGATATCTTGAGATGAGATTTATCATTATTTGAATTTTATTGATTACTAATTAAGGTTAAAATCTTTTATTTATTTCAGCTGATACATCTGCTGCAACAATTTCTGATAACATCAACTCAATTCCCATGCTCAATGGGATAAATTTCAAGATTTGGAAAGAGAACATTTTAATTGTTCTTAGCTGCATGGATCTAGACCTTGCATTAAGAACTGAACAACCCTAACCTCTCAGCGCGGATAGCACTCCTAATGTAAAGAAAGAATATGAGAAATGAGAGCGTTCAAATTGCATGAGTCTCATGATCATTAAGCGCGGCATTCCGAAAGCCTTCAGGGGCATATAATCCGAAGAGATTACTAAGGCTAAAGATTTTCTGGCTGAAATTAAGAAACGTTTTGCGAAAAACGATAAGGTAGAAACAAACATGCTTTTAGCTCGCTTGATTTTAATTAAGTATAAGGGCAAAGGAAATATCAGGGAGTACATTATGAAAATATCTCATATTGCTTCAAAACTTAAGTCACTCAAACTTGACCTATGTGATGAGTTACTGGTGCATCTGATTTTGTTATCTCTTCTTGCATAATTCAATCAATTTAATCTTAGTTATAACCGGCAAAAGGAGAAATGGACTCTAAATGAGCTGATTTCATACCGTGTGTAAGAAGAAGACAGATTGAAGCAAGATAAGACTGAAAGTGCTCATTTGACATATGCCTTTAAAGATAAAGGCAAGAAAAGAAAGAATGATAATGAAGCTGCTAAGGGTCCAATTCAGAAGAAACAACATAAGGATAATCATGGTTGTTTCTTTTATAATAAGGCTGGACACGTAAAGAAGGATTGTACCAAATATCACGCCTGGCGTGCTAAGAAGGGTATGTTCCTTACTTTGGTATGTTTTAAGGTTAATTTAGCTTCAGTAGCTAGAAACACTTGGTGGTTAGACTCTGACGCTACTACTCACATAAGTGTTTTTATGCATTATTGCCTGAGCTACCGAAAGCCAAGTAATGTTGAAAGACACATCTTTGTGGACGATGGACAATCGGTAAATGTGGAAGCAATTGGTCACTTTAGGTTGCTGTTAGGAACTGGTTCTTATTTGGATTTGAAAGATACTTTTGTAGTACCGTCTTTTAGACAGAATTTAATTTTTGTTTCTGTATTGGACAAATCATGTTATTCTTGTTTATTTGAAAATAATCAATTCAATTTATCTTTTAATTCAAAATTGTGGGAACTGGTTACTTGAGTACTTATGACAACCTATATTTTCTTGATACAATTACTTCTTATAATGAAACTTTGCATGTGGAATCACGTGGTACTAAGCGTAAATTAAATAAAGAAAATTTGGCGATATTATGGCATAAACACTTGAGTCATATTTCAAAAGGTAAAGTTGAGCATCTGTGTGTGATGGCATTTTAGATTCCCTTGATTTTTTGAATTTTAACGTTTGTGTTGAATGTATCAAGGGAAAACAGACCAAAATTAAGAGATTAGGTGCTAATAGATCTTCAGAAGTCTTAGAATTGATACATACAGATATTTGTGAGCCATTCCCTACGTCATCTTGGAATGATCAACATTATTTTATATCATTCATAGACGATTACTCACGTTATGGGTACCTATATCTCATTCATAAAAAATCTGAGTCTCTGGACATGTTCAAAACTTTTAAAGCTGAAGTTGAGAATCAACTCAACAAAAGAATTAAAACTGTTAGATCTGATCATGGTGGTGAGTACTACAGCAGATATGATGGTTCAGGTGAATAACGTTCAGGACCATTTGCTAGATACTTAGAGGAATACAGTATCGTCCCACAGTACACTATGCCGAGTTCACCTAGCATGAATGGTATAGCTGAAAGACGAAATATGACTCTTAAGGATGTGATAAGAAGTATGATTGCTCATTCTTCTTTACCAGAGTCACTCTGGAGAGAAGCACTAAAGATAACATCTTATATTCTAAACAGAGTACCAAGTAAAGCAGTTGCTAAAATACCTTATGAGTTTTGGACTGGTCAAAAGTTTATTTTAAAGCACTTACATATTTGAGGATGTCCAGCTGAGGCAAGGCTTTATAGGCCAAATAAAAAAATAGACTCCAAAACAGTTAGCAACTACTTTATTGGGTATTCTGAACGTTCTAGGGACTATAAGTTTTATGATCTCATACTCAGGAATATTTTTGAGACGGGAACAACAACGTTCTTTGAGGATGTTGAGTTTTGGGGAAGAAATAAGGTTAGAAATATTACTTTTGAGGAGGAATTGGCTTCAGATCCAATCCATACAGTTACTTTTGACAATCTTTAGGTTTCTATACATGTTGTTGCTTAAGAAGTAAATCTGAAACCTCAAGATGATAATGTTAAATAACTCCCTGTTCCAGAAGAACAAACTCAACAACTTCAAGAACCAGTGCCTTTAAGGAGATCTATGAGAGAAAGAAGAAATGCTATTCCAGATGATTATATTGTATTTCTCCAAGAACATAAGAAAAATAATGGAATGATGGAAGATGATCCAATCAATTTCCTTCAGACCATAAAAAATTCTAAATCTTAAAAGTGGATTGATGCCATGAATGAAGAGTACAAGTCTATACAAGACAATAAGGTTTGGAAACTTGTCCCATTACCAGAAGGTGCAAAACCAATTGGTTGTAAATAGATTTTTAAAACCAAGTAGGATGCAAATGATAATGTGGAGAGGTATAAGGCACGTCTTGTAGCTAAAGGCTTTACTAAAAAAGAATGCATTGATTATACATAGACTTTCTCTCCGATTTTATCGAAAGACTCTTGTAGAACAATCACGGCACTTGTTGCCCACATTGATCTTGAGTTACATCAGATGAATGTTAAGACTGCGTTTCTCAATGAAGACATTGATGAAATGATCTATATGATGCAACTAGAAAACTTTGTCTCAGGTAACCCAAAGAATATGGTTTGCAAATTAAGAAAATCCATCTATGGACTCAAGTAAGCTCCTCGTCAATGGTATTATAAGTTTTAACAAATAATTATCTCGTTTGGTTTTGAGATGAATATTGTTGATGACTGTGTATATCACAAGTTCAGTGGGAGTAAATATATTTTTTTGGTTCTGTATGTCGATGACATATTACTTGCCACTAATGATATACGCATGTTACACGAAACCAAGAGATTTCTATCAAAGAATTTTGAAATAAAAGATCTTGGGGACGTCTCTTTTATATTAGAAATCTAGATACATCGAGATCGTTCTCGTGGTATACTTGGATTATCACAAAAGAGCTCTATCGATAAAGTACTCAAAAGGTTTGGCATGCAAGACTGCAGACCAGGAGACATCCCTGTTGCTAAAGGAGACAAGTTTAGTCTCAATCAGTGCCCTAAAGGTAATCTTAAAATTCAGGAAATGCAGAAGATTCCTTATGCTTCGGCTGTAGGAAGTTTAATATATGCTCAGTTGTGTACGCGTCCGAATATTGCGTATATCATTGAGATGTTAGGTAGATACTTAAGCAACCCTGGTATGTATCATTGGATAGCAATCAAAAGGGTTATGAGATATCTTCAGAAAACAAAAGATTATATACTCACATACAGAAAATCAGATCAGCTGGAGGTCATTGGGTACTCTGATTCTGATTTTGCTGGATGCCAAGATAGTAAAAAGTCTACATCAGGCTATATTTATATGTTAGCAGGAGGAGCTATATCATAGAAAAGTATCAAACAGACACTTGTAACTTCATCCACTATGGCAGCAGAGTTTGTAGCTTGCTATGAGGCATCCAATCATAGAATATGGTTGTAAAATTTTATCACTGGACTGCTCATTCTGAATAAAGTTGACAGACCACTTAAGTTATTTTGTGACAATAAATCAGCAGTAATGCATTCCAATAACAACAGAAGCTCGACTAAGTCAAAACATATTGATATTAAGTTCCTTGTTGTGAAAGAAAGGGTACATAGTGAACAGTTATCCATAGAGCACAATGGGACAAACTCCATGATAGCAGATCCTCTTACTAAAGGGTTGTCACCTAAAGTCTTTCATGAGCACACTGCTCGTATGAGTGTGGTATTAATCGATGATATCATGATTTAGTGGGAGTTTGTAATTTTCTGGTGCTTTGTGTTTGGTTGTATTGTCTGATCAGAATAAAATATTCAGTTAAGATACTCTGTTTCATTATGTTTGGTTTTGACCTCGCTAAAGTCTAAGTTAGGACCAGTTGAAAATAGACATGTACTGATCATATTGCATGTAATTTTTATGCTGCACATCCATGATTGATCTATGTCATTTGATTGTACTGGTATATATGACCATTGATGGGTTTAGTCATGATAAATGTGACGAAAACCGCTTTGATTCTATATTGATATTGTCAATGGATGAGATTGTTCGGAAATACCCTTATTTGTAATAGCAATTTCTGAGCTCATAAGGTTGTACACGTTTTAATAAAACATATAGTACCCAAGTGGGAGATTGTTGGATTAAATCTAATTATGGGCATATATGTTATATTAGTGTATAATGCTATCCTTAAGGTTAACCTGCATAAAGTGATTAATCAATTTGGGTTAATGAGTATTTAAGTAAAATCATGGGCTAATTGTGCAGATACCATACTGCAATTCTATTTTATGAGGGGCTAAATTAAAAATTACAAATCTATATAAAGGGGTTATGGTCCCTAATCTAAAGGTAACGTTCTCTTTTCTCTAATCCCCATCTTAAGAGAATTCTTAAAAGAGAAACCTTTCAGATTAGAAGATCAATCCTAATTCAGATTCGTGCTCAAATCATCATGGAATTAGGTATTGCTTCCGCTCTCAAGTTAATCTCTTTGAATTAATCACATTAATATATTCTTACACATTGATCCATGTGGTATCGATCTTTTGAACTTATTATTCATGCAGTTTCATTATTATTGCAGATAGATGCCTAAAGTTAAACTTTTAGCTCTTTTACCCTAGGTGACAATTTTGGCAAATATTACCCTGGGGTGAAGTCAGTGAGTTTATTTGAGGGTAAAAGAGTCAAAATAATTTAACTCAGAGGGTTTATCTGCAACAATGATACTACATGGGTCGTAATTTTAGAACAACGATCTACAGAAGGTCTGTGCGCATTAACCCTATTTTCATCCCGTATCTCCCCGCTTTTTTTTTCATTTTTTGCAAGTAGTTTTATTTGAGTAAATCTCACAAAGCCCCAAGAAATTTGGTCCATTACGGGATAACCCCGAAACGTTTAGAAATGTCACTTAATTCCCAAAACTTTTTCAGATAACCTCAAATTTTTTTCAGAGTTATCTGCAAATGGATTCGGAAAAATGCAAAAGTTTTGGGGGTTAAAGTGACTTTTCCAAACGTTTTCAGGGCTATCTAACTTTTTTAAGATTATATTTGCATGTTATACAGTTTACGAAAAATGATTTTTGCAGCGTGTTGTGTCTTTTTGCCTATAACTAAACAATATCTGATACAAATTTCATCCTTTATTTAATTTTCCAGTCAGTTCCCCTCTACCTCTCCGAGATGGCCCCCGCGAGACTTCGAGGCATGCTCAACATCTGCTTTCAGCTAATGACAACCATCGGAATCTTAGTTGCCAACCTCATAAACTACGGCACAACCAGAATCGAAGGAGGTTGGGGATGGAGGCTAAGCTTAGCTTTAGCTGCAGTCCCTGCCTCAATAATCACAGTAGGAGCTTTAATTCTTCCCGACACTCCAAATTCCCTCATTGATCGAGGCCACCAAGAAAAAGCAAGAGACATGCTTAAAAAAATACGAGGAACAAACGATATAGAGGAAGAGTATAAAGATTTGGTGGTTGCGAGTGAGGAGGCAAAAACTGTAGAAAGTCCTTGGAGGAATATACTTGATAGAAAGTATAGGCCTCAGTTGACTGTGGCTATACTTGTTCCATTTTTTCAGCAGGTTTCAGGGATTAATATTATTATGTTTTATGCACCGGTTCTTTTTAAGAGTATAGGGTTTGGAGACGATGCTTCGCTTGTTTCTGCAGTTGTTATCGGTTTTGTGAATTTGCTTGCGACGTTGGTTTCTATCGCTACTGTTGACAGGCTTGGTCGAAGGAAGCTTTTTCTTCAGGGTGGAGTCCAAATGTTTATTAGTCAGGTACTAAAGGTTTAGATGACTTCATATTAGTATTTCTGAGTTTAGTATAGCAACTTATATAACATTTTCTAGTAGAAATTGATATTCATCTTAATAGATAATTTGCACAATTTTTTTTCCTTTACTGATATATAACAATCAAGAAAGTATCCGATCACATTAATTGCACTCTTCTTATTCATCAAACTGTTCTGTCAGTTGCTTGTGCTGTATGATAATATGAAAATATCCCATATCAGTATCATAATCTAATCACACTATCTAAATTGTCTTCAAATTAATTTGACACATAGAAGATCAGAGATCAATACACATCTATTCATAAAACATCTTCTAGTAGCAATTGATGTTTTCTTATGATTACTTGATGCACATTTACGTTCGAACTTCAAACATCAGTATTGATGGTGAAAGTTCGTGCAGTACTAAATGGAGCTATTAAGGCTGTCTATTCTTTTTTCTCAAAAAAATGCTATATATCTTCTCTCCTGCTCATGATGATATGCATAAAAGTTTCTCTCATTATAACCAGCTGCAAGTTACTTTGACAGGGTTAATTGCAGATAGACACTCTGTATTATTGCCCAAGTGCGGATAGCTCCCCGTAGTTCTACTGATGTAGATAGACCCTTGTGAATTTTTTTTATTCTTTTACCCTCAGAAGGTCATGAAAAAACAATTTCCTCTGAAGAGTCAGCAAAACTTCACTCAGGGGTTCTATGTGCAACAATATATAGAACTACAGGTTTCCATCCACAATGGGCAATAGTACAGTTGGCCTATCCACAATTACCCGAACACTTTAGAAACCATCAGATTTAATCGATATTATCTATGAATATCTTGAAAAAATTTCAGAAAATGACCCGCATCAGAAATCAAAGACTAACAAACCCTCTTCCACTCTTGTTGCAGATTATTGTAGGAACGTTGATTGCAGTAATGTTTGGAACAAGCGGGAACGCTACAAAACCCTCAAAAGTATTCGCAGTCTTCGTATTGGTCTTTGTCTGCACCTATGTTGCAGGCTTTGCTTGGTCCTGGGGACCCTTAGGTTGGCTAGTCCCTAGTGAAATATTCCCATTAGAAATTCGCTCAGCGGGCCAAAGCATAACGGTGTCAGTCAACATGTTGATCACCTTCATCATTGCTCAGACTTTCCTCACAATGCTTTGCAAAATGAAATTTGGTTTGTTCTTCTTCTTTGGAGCCTGGGTCTTTATAATGACTGCATTTGTCGCCTTTTTTCTACCAGAGACGAAGAATGTTCCCATTGAGGAAATGGTGTCGGTTTGGAAAAGACACTGGTTTTGGAGGAAGTTTATACCTGATGCTGTTGACAATAAGGGGAGTATTGAGATTGTACATGGAAGGTTGAGGAATAATAAAGTCTAGAACTGAAAATTTTTTTGTTGCTTTTTCTTGATTTCGTGGGAGGAGTTATCTATTTGAATCTCTTTAAGTAGAATTTGTTTTGGTTGTTTTCAGAGTAAGGTGTGATGTAAGTGACTTCAGAATTGTCAGTGATTTGCACAATTTGGTGCGTATCAGATATAAATATTGGGTTTTCTGCGGATTTTCTCTTATATTGTGCAAATTGACTTCTTTCTGTTGCAAGTTTGTATTAGTCAGGACAAATTGTGATGAAAACAATGTAAATTTACAAAGCAGACCATAACGATCCTCCTCTACTCCTCATCATTTATGCAGAACACAAGAAAACTAGTTTTAGTTTTTTTCATACTGGCTCTTGTGACCTACTGGTTGCTTGAGAGGGACTAAAAGAAAAGCGTTGAATTGATTACACTTTTGAGAACAGGCAAGATTCTACTTCTAGTTCTCAAGTACTGTTTCTCATCAGCTTTGTTTCGAGATAATTAGAGTTCTAAAATAAGAAAATTACACGAAATCCTCTTCATCCAGAAATCCCATCTAAAGATTTCAAGCGAGAATATTTCCTTGGTCTGTTATCATTCAGGTTAAGAGAAGCACAGCTGAGAGAATAAGTAATCAAATTATGCAAACGACCTCACATGACCGCTCACTGAGGAAACCAACGCTTTTAAAGACCTCCATAGTAAAATTGTCTATACAAAAGTTTACAATATCACCCCCAAACGTCTTTCTTTCTAACTTTGGACGTAATTCCTCCAATTTTGTCTGACATTGTCAAATATCGATCGGATGCCTAGCCCGGCCCCCAGCAACTCAAGTACATAACTTTCCTGATGGATTCATCTTCATCCCCCTGACAATCTCTCGAACTATTGCCGGTAACAGCACGGACAATGGTACCCGTAGATTTTGAAATGGACGGTCTGATCCGACCTTTTCCATTTCTCATATATCTGAAATCAGAGCAGCCCTGAACCACAGCTACACTAGCAGCCATGCAAGCTCTAGTAACATTGCTCATCTCAATCTTTCCCCACAGTCCCTGAAATTAATATTAGCAGAAATCTAGTCTCGATGCTAGCCAAATCAAAGTGAGCTCAAGAAGCATTTATAGGAAAGCACGTACAGTGTCGTGTGCTGTTTTGTGAGAATCCCTTGTTTTTAGTCTCCACTTGTGGCAGGCAAGTTCTGAGGCCATTAAATTTTGTCTTGCCTGCATGCAAACCTTGTGCAGAGTCTATTGTTTTTTGTTAGGGAAATCAGGTTTTCTCCTTCAGTTTCCGTGTACTTTGTGCGTACTGTGTGGAAGTACAAAGAGAAAAAGGTGCAGGCTTATCCTGGCATGCTAGAGGACAGCAGTAGAGAAGCTCTATCGGTTATGCTTGAGGACAGGGATAAATATCCAATTGCCTAATCAAGAAGGATAGCGAATTTGTCGCTTTCTGAATGCAAAGAAATGGGGCTCAGTTACGAGGTTATTATTGTTGGAATATCAAATTAAAATGTTAGAATAAATCATACTCCTTTTAAAAGCACGAGTTCGGAAAAATCTTTTAGTAGACAAAAATACCATTGGAATTTAAATACTAATCTCTAAAGTAAGAGTAACTTGATAAATTGATGAATCCTTATTGGATATACATAGTATGAAGATAATAATATGGTTTAAATTGAAATGTAAATCTAAATGAAAGAGCAACTTAAGTAAATTAGATGACTTATTAAATACCAAATTTATCCCCTCGCTCTTATATGTGATCAATGATCAAATTGCAAACAATTATTCATGTGCTACATGATTAATAATGCCAAAGTGAGAACAATTATTCACATGTTATATGATTAATAATTATACACAACGTGACGATCTCTCACCAACTAAAATTCAGGTAGTTCACAATACGCTTAGGTTAATTAACGATTTATTAAATACCAAATTTACCCCCTCGCTCTTATATGTGATCAATGATCAAACCGTAAACAATTATTCACGTGCTACATGATTAATAATGCAAATCTGCAAACAATTATTCACATGCTATATGATTAATAATTACACACAACGTGGCGATCTCTCACCGACTAAATTAAAATAGTTCAAAGTACTGCATAGTTAGTTTTAAAATTTAATTATACTATTATTATTTAAATAGAACTTTATTTATAATTGTTATCATCTCACATGCAACATTATATACCAATATATATAAGCCAAGAAATTATAATAATTTCCATAGCACTTTTATCTCCTTCTACAGACATGTGCCTTTGCTATTAGATTAGATTAGATTATTTTAAAGCAATTAATTATATTGTATATCTGATCTTTTTCAGATCAAGAAATTACAATAGCTTTCACAGTACTTTTATCTCCTTCAACAAGTATGTGTCTTTGTTATTTTTTCTTATTAGAATATATAGATTAGATTGTTTAAGAATTATGAATTATAAAATTATAATAATTTTCACAGTACTTTCATCTATTTTCTTCTTATTAGATTAGATTAGATTATTTTAAAGTAATTAATTATATTATATGTTTGATTTCTTTTCAGATCATAAAGTTTAATTATACTATTATTATCTAAATAGATACTGTTTGTATAAAAGTCAAAGAGAATCTCACACGTTCTTTGATCTTAATGCCAATTATAATACTTATATATGAGTTTTTGTTAAAATAAATTTTATGTATGTGGTTAACTTATATGATCCTACTTTAATCAGATTAGATAATTTAACATTTGTTCTTTACACTCAAACTCTTCCGCAAAATCAAGAGATTTTCAAAACTAATCTTGGGGGTTGCTTGCATTAAAAAATATGTTAGAGGACCCATACAGTCTGTTTTATAGTTTAAGATTATCAACACATTTTGTCCCTTATGCATATCAATTATGAGTAATAATATTATTTAATTGATCCAGGTGTATCCTAATATATTTCTGGACTCTTATCTTGTCTTTTGCTCTTTATCATGTACAAACCTAACGATTCTTATTCAATTCCTTCTTTTTTCTTTTTTGTCTCTTGACATTGTCTATTGTTCTTCATTATGTACAAACCCATTTTATGGATTAGGCTTATGGCTTTTGAGGGGGGAGCAGAAGACAATTAGTTGATTTTGGTGTTGGACTTCATTGTTTGAAGAGATTAATTTTAAGAAATTCAACTCCAACCTGATATCACAATTGATATAGATGATGAAGACGCTACTCTAGAATTGCCCAATCAAAAGATAAAGGTGGAGAAAGATTGATCTTGACTCAATTAAAACATAAAATAAAAAGAATAAATGATAATATTTTTTGAACATTTTATACTATAACTTACTTTTTGAGTAAAATTAGGAATTTTTAGAATGAATTTTCATGCAAAATTTTTAGTATTTTTGCATGCTTATGTGATTGCTTTTATCACATAAAAGTATACTGTAGTTACTATTAATCTTTAGTTTTGTCTTTTTATTATTTTAAGTCTATCAAATAATGTAGGCTGAGATCTATATATATATATCGTATGCTTTTGAGATTGTTTATTATAAAACATGAGCTTATAATGTTGAAAAGTACAATGTAATTCTATTTTCAATGCAATAAGAAAATGTTATTTTTTTATTGCTAGAACTATAGTTCATAATGATATTGTTATTCATCCTTGGCTCCATACTATAGCTTAGAATTAGTATAGTTTAGAATATGACATATAGTATCAATTTAATTTATTTTCTTTTAGTATTCTGCTTGAAGATATTATTATGTCAGCTGATATTTTTTCTGCGAAAATCAATTATGATATCCCAGTTAAGTATATTGATCCCAGTTTAGCACAAAAATCCATTACATTAATTTTTTATAATTTTTAAATAAAAATTATAACAAATCTAATAATTAAAATGAATCTGACTTATTTATAGTAATAAAATAAAAAATAAGTTATTTTGATATTAAACCACGTGCAATGCACGTGCATAAAAACTAGTGAGGTTAATAGCATGAGTTTTAGAAGTGCAAGGGTCATAAGTTTAGAAGGGGAAGAGACATAGGTTATGGAAGAATAATAGTTACTCACTCCTTTATGATGTTTTATCTTTATGACATTAAAATAGGAGTTTAATTTATGACTATTGGTATGCCTATACGTTTTGTTTTTGAAACCTATAAAAAAGGCTATTGTAATCATTGTTTTCATCAACAAAAAAATTAAAGAAATAAAAGTAAGTTCTTTGTCTTTATTTGGGAGAGTTCTAAGTTTGTAAACTTAAGAGTCAACAGTGGTATCAGAGCCACTTGATCCTGTTAGACCCTAGAGGAGGGGTGATTAGGGTCTTATGCTAATCTAATCCGATTTAAACGCCAATTAAAATTAATTAATAAGTTATCCTAGCAAGTAAGAAATACAACAAGTTATATGAGCTAGGATAAGCAATATGAACAACAGGAAATATCCTAGCAAAGAGATATAAGCAATATATGATATATGCAAGGATATGAAACTAACACAAGGAGTAAACAATATGAACTAGATAGTGGATCATATAAATAATGAGCAATGCACAATGGCGATATAAGATATGAACATAAATATAAATGAACGCCAAAGCACACTCAAACACAATCAAATGATCACGGAGTTCGGACCTTCCGTCCTACGTCTCCGCTCCCCACTCTCGGGGAGAAATCCACTAGCACAATCCGGTTTGGAAACCGGAACTTCTACACACTCGGTTTACAAGCTTACCAAAAACTCTCATACAACAAACACTATGCAATCACACTCTACACCCTCACAAGTGTTAGACCTAGCCGTGTCTCCCTCAAGTGCTCGGTTATAACCTCTCCCTAGGTTCGTCAACCGACGCCACTCCTCTTGGGACGATCCCCGACTCCCACCACACACTCCTCACTCGGTGTATAAACCCTCACAAGTGTTAGCCCTAGCCGTGTCTCCCTCAAGTGCTCGGTTATAACCTCTCCCTAGGTTCGTCAACCGACGCCACTCCTCTTGGGACGATCCCCGACTCTCACCACACA